TATGTAAAAGGTGATTTTAAAAACTCAATGTAAAAGCTAAAACTATGCAGAAACCATAAAGTAAAAAGAATATTTTTGACATTGAGATAGGCAAAGATTTTCTAGAAGGAACATGGACTTTCTAGACTTTATAATCATAGAAAAAAATTATATATTGGACTTTGTCATAGTTAAAAAACAATCTGTCATTAAGGAAATAAAAAGAGCAAAGACTAGAAAAAATATTTGCAAAATGTGTATATTATCAGAATATTTCAAGAACTCTTGTAGGGCTGGAGTTGTAGCTCAGTGGTAGAGTGCCTGCCTAGCATATGTGAGGCCCTGGGTTTGATCCTCAGCACCACATAAAGATAAATAAATAAAGGTAGTGGGTCCATCTACAACTAAAAAAATATGTATATATTTTTTAAAAAAGAACTCTTGTAACTACTAATAAGGTAATAAATAAATAATGAATGAATAATAAAGTGGCAAAAGGTTTGAACAGACATTTCACAAAAGAAGATATAATAGTAAGCCCATGAAAAGTCAGTGAACATAATTAGCCATCAGGAAATACTAATTGATACCATAGGGACATTGCCTTGTATCCTCTACAATGGCTAAAATTAAAAGACTAACAGTTCCCATGTGTGACAAGAAAATGTGAGAATGTGGATCAGCTGGAGCTTTTACACATTGGTAGTGGGAGCCTAAAATGGTGTAAGTGGCAGGTTGCTTTATACATTTAAACATAGTTACTGTGTGATCCAGCAATTATACTTGCAGCTGTTAGGCCAACCAAAACAAAAACATTGGTCTATGAAGAGAGATGAATGTTCATAGCTTTATTTATAATAGCCCCAAATGAAAAAACAACCCAATTGTTCAATACTTGAATGGATTAAAAAAATTTTTTTGGGTATATTCCTACAATGAAGTATATCTCATCCATATAAAGGGATATCTTAATAAAGTGAACAAATCTCAAAAAATATGCTGAGTGAATGATATGTGGCACAAAGGAATACATGTTATATAATTTTATAATAGGCAAAACTAATCTGTAGTCATTAGAATGGTGGTTGCCTAGTGCTGAGTGGGTTAGGAGATTGATTACTGATGTGCTCAGAGGGACTTTTTTGGGTGGTAATAATTATTCTATATCTTGATTAGGCAAATATTTACATGGATATATACATTTGTCAAAAGCCATTGAATTGTACATTCCATGTGTTCATTTTAGCATATGTAGATTATATGCCTTAACATAGCTGAATTTAAAAAGTTAATTCTAAGTAAATAGTAGATTAAAATGTCATATAATAAGCTCCTAAAGATAACATGGAAGAGTACTTATGACCTCATGGAAAGCAAAATTTCTTAAATGGTGTATAAAGAGCACTAACCATAATATAAAAGATTAATAAATTTAACTGTATTAAAACCTGGAATTTCTTATCTTCAAAAGATGGTACCAAACTAGGTACGGTGGTTACTCCTGTAGTCCCAGCTACTCAAGAGGCTGAGGCAGGAGGATACAAGTTTGAGGCCAGTCTCAGCAACTTAGTGAGACTCATCTCAAAAATTATTTTTAAAATAAAAAATTAGAAGTGACAACCATTGTCCAGTGGTAAAGTGCCCCTTGATTCAATCCCCAGTACCAAGGGCATGGGTGGAGAAGGTAGTACTAAGAGTGAAAAAGGTAAACTTCTATGTGAAAGGGGGGGAAAAAAAAAAAAAAAAATATATATATATATATATACATACACACACACACACATACATACACATACATGTGTGTGTCTTTTCATTTTTAGTCCATTTTCTCTTGCTATAATAAAATATCTGAGACTGGGTATTTATAAAGAATAGAAATTTATTTGGCTTTTGGCTCTGGAGACTGCAAAGTCTTAGAGCATGGTGTTGGCATCTGCCTATCATTTTGTGAGGACCTTGCTGTGTCACAGTGTGACATAGAGCATGACATGGTGAGACAGTAAGTATGCTATCTCTCTTCCTTTTATAAAGCCAGTTATGATACTCCACCCTTACGACCTCTTCTAATCCTAATCTCTCAAAGGCCCTGCCTCCAAATACTATTAACATATGAATTTGATTAAGTTTCCAACACTTGGACTTTTGAGGAACACCTTTAAATTGTAGCATACTTACATATCTTACATGTCTGTGTATTTTTCCTGACAATTGACTCATATCCAAAGAATAAAACTTAAACTTACTAAAAGGAAAAAACCCAAACATCTAAGAAAGCGAAGATATGAATAGCCATTTCATAAAAGGGGATTTCCAAGTAGTAAATTTAAGATTGTTCTGTACCTTTAGTTTTTAGAGAAATGCAGATTAAAATAATGCAGTACCAACCCACTGCAATGGCTAAAATAGACAGTATTGGGTGTTAGTAAAGCTGGAAGCACCTCTTGTTCTACACTAGAAGGTGGGAGTGTGTAACTTGTATGTTCAATTTGGAAACTGTGGCAGCATGCCTATATCTTATGTCTTAGCAGTTTCTTTTTTAGACACTGTTCCATAGTGCACATACACCTGGATACATACATACTGAAGGATGTTATGTATCCTTTAGCATATGTTGAGTATGTACCTTAACATAACTGAATTTAAAAAGTCAATTCCAAGTAAATTGTAGATTAAAATGTTATATAATAACAAATATAATAAATCCTTATATAATCCATATAATAAATCCTTATTTATTTATAAATAACCCAAAACTAGAAACTATGAATTCATATTTGTCACCAACAGAATGGTTAAATTGTTTGTATACAATAATAGAATACAATAAAACAAAATGGGAAGGTATAAGCTACTGTTTGAGTAGGTTAATTATGGGTTAATCATACAAATAGAATGTTGTGTGATATAAGATAGTCAGTAAACATAAAACTTCATTTATGTAAAATACAATTTTTAAAAAATATTTATTTTTTTAGTTGTAGTTGGACATAATAACTTTATTTTAATGTGGTGCTGAGGATCGAACCCAGGGCCTCTCACGTGCTAGGCAAGCGTTCTACCACTGAGCCACAACCCCAGCCTCATATTTTGATTTTTTAAAGTTTAATTTTTAGCTGGGTGTGGTGATGCATGCCTATAATCCCAGCACTCTGGAGGCTGAGTTAGAAAGACTGAACGTTTGAGACTCTGTCTCAAAATAAAAAACAAAAAGGGCTAAGAATCTAACTCAGTGATGGAGCACCTCTGGGTTCAATCCCTAGTTTTTGCAAAAATAAATTAATTTATTAATAATAAGTAAATTTTAAAAATAGGCAAAGCAAAGATATTTTCAGGAAATGTATGGTATTCTTTAAAAAAAAAATTTTGTAGTTGTGATGGACAGCATGCCATTATTTTGTTTATTTTTATGCAGTGCTAAGGATCAAACCCAGTGCTTCACACATGACTGAGCCACAATGCAACCCCTAGTATTCTTGATAGTGTGGCTGAGTATGAGATTAACATATAGAAGTAAACTTTTTCTCTGGTAATTGGCACCTGTAAATAGAAGTTATAAAAATAATTCCATTTATAGTAGTGAGCAGCTGCATTATAACTTCTTGTTTAGGTTCCTACTGCTTACATCTTATTTCTAGCTCCAGGACTTCTCTGTTATCCCTGCTACTGGGCCCATCATGGGAACTGACTCAGGCTGTACAAGTTACTCTGAGGGATACTTAACACTCCTTGGAGTGAACTTTGATCGGTGGGATGTGGGAGCCAATAGATATATGCTTCTCTTTTTTGGTGGGTGGGGAGGATTGAATGTTTTTATTAAATAAATGAGTAATTATTACAAATCAGCAGCAATAATTTTGGAAGGAGTGGGAACAAGGTGTAGGGGCAGAATGTAATTGTTCATATTATGGTCTTAAGGTAGCTTTAGAACTATGCATCAGGCTCATTGATTAGTAGTATTATATATTGCAAATGAGGAAGGGGCAAGACTAAATATTTAGGACCAAACCTTATGCTTTTTAGAAGACTGAATCAGAACCTTGCAAATTATCCTAATAGCAAGGTTTCTTCTTAAGATTTGAAATCTGATTTTTCTCAGCTAGAATTATCAATCCATAATTAGCAAAGTTGTGAGTAAGCTGAAGAACATCCTTTTGGACTTTGGAGGCTGACAAAAGGATCACAAGTTCAAGACCAGCAACTTAGACACTACCCTGTCTCAAAATTAAAAAAATAAAATGGGCTAGGATGTAGTTCAGTGGTAGAATGCCCCTGGGTTGGATCCCCAGTACTGCAGAAAACAAAGAATGCTTTTTGGAAGGAAAGAGCTTCAACTATTTCTGAAATGATTTAGTGCTTTTCCATATTTTCATAATGTATTGTTTCCTTGTTTTATACCTTTACCCCAATTTCTCTGGAGAAAAGAATGTATTATAAGAAGGAGCAGGATTAAAAAAGAAGATCGTCACCTTACATTTTGGAAATCATTCTGTTGTGGCAAATCATCTTAAAAATTAGAAGGTTTTCATTAACCCTGGGAAAAAATACTTAAATTTACTGGTAACTACAGGAAACTACAAAGGTTTGAGCAATCTTTTTCTTTTTTGTGGTGCCTAGGGATCAAACCCAAGGTCTCACATATACCAAGCAAGTGCTCTACCCTCTGATTAGAGCAATCTTTGAAGCTGATTAAAAATGGAATCAAAACTGTCTTCCATTTTGTAATACTCTACTACTCCCTGATGTCTCCACAAAGCTTATTTTCTGGGGTTAATAATCCAGGGGGTGGGGGTGGGATTTCTGTGATCCTATACTCCATTGCTTGAACCTTTTACTTTGGTTTGAGGGCTTTTGATAGAAACAGAGTAGATAGATAAATAAGTAAAACTCAACTGGCAGACTCATCAGCACTATCAACACAATAGAGGGAAGAGAACAAGATTAATTTGGGAAAGGAATGAGAAAGAAGAGGCTTGAAAGAGAAGACAATAAGGGCAAGGTGGTGGGAAAGAAAAGTCTTGGCCTTAGAGCAAGTCCAATTCCAAGGAGTGGGTGCTGGCAATGGGAGCTCTCCAGAAGTTGAAGGTGCTGTACTCTAGGAGGGTATCGCCTTCTGCCTTTTTCTCATGTTCTACTCCTGTTGCTTGCCAGATCATTTTGCCAACACTGCTGTCCTTGATCTTGTAGGTGGGTGTATCTGACAGACCCAGGCCTTCCAGCTCCAACAGATCCAGTTCTGGTATAGGCGTCCTCCAGAAAAGAAAGGAGCGGTACTGGCTACTCACAGGGTCCCTCTTAGTTTCTTGTTATCAGTGAATTACCAGCGTGTTCCAAAGATGGAGAGAGGGCCTCAGGAGCTCTGGGGTCTGCTTGGGGAAGGAGGAAAAGGAAGCTGCTGAGGTTTGGAAGGCTTTGTCCCCTCACTCCCTCTCCCTCCGCCCTCTCCGCCCTCTTGGCTAATTTGAATGATTATGCTTATCTTTTTTTTTTTTTTTTCTTTGACCATCTTGTAATGAATTTCCTACAGTTTCTCATATTGTCCCTGACGGCTGAGCCAACTGTTGCGCCACTTTGTTTTGGCTCTCTCTTTCCCTTTTATGCTACTACATCATCAAGTCCTGCTTCCCAAGAAAGTATTAATGTATAAAATACCTTCTCAGACTGCTCAGGTCCCACCATAGAAATCACCTAAATCAAAATGTCAGTAGCTCTGAAGTTGAGTATCTGAAGTCAAGAGGTTTACTTTAAAATCCAAGCTCTTCAGTATTCAGTCTCTGTAACTTTGGAAATAACAGAGTCAACTTTTCAGGTCTATAAAATGGTAATTATAAATAGATACAAATACAGTCCATAAGGATTAAATGAGATAAGCTTTATAAACTTAATATCTGGAACAGAGAAGGTTTCAGTAAATAGTAGCTATTGATATTTCTTATTCATGTTTATTATGCTACTTTCTGACCCTCCCTGAGGAGTTTTCAGTGTAAAAATACTTTCCTAGAGCCCAAGTTTTCATATCATTTGTTGGGGGTGGGGGGTTGTACTGGGAATTGATCCGAGGAACACTTAACCATTGAGTCACATCCCCAGCCCTTTTTATATTTAATTTAGAGACAGGGTCTCACTAAGTTGCTTAGGGCCTTGCTAAGTTGCTGAGGCTGGCTTTGAACTTGCCATCCTCCTGCCTCAGCCTCTTGAGCTGCTGGGATTATAGGTATACACTACCATGGCTAGCAAAGTTCTCATATCCTTATAAATGACCACCAAGGAACAAAAAACTCACCTTCTACAGAACTGGGTTATGAAGATATAGTGAAAACAAACCTCCAACTCAGATTTGTTTTTTCCTGCTACACTCTCACAGCATAGATCACTTCTGACATCAAGCATGTGACGCTTTTCCAGTCACCAAGCAAGTAATCAGTTCTACAGTGAATACCACCTGGGTGTCCCCTAATTTATTTATATTTTGACAGAGTCTACTTGGAGATAGTGTCGGATTCCATATGTTCAGGGATCGATCCCCATGGATGCCTCTGGTTGGTTTGCCTATGCTTCTAACTGATTAGCTGTAAATTGCTGTTCCCAAAACTCCCTCCTAAAATAGTTTGATTATTTTGCTAGGGTGATTCACAGGACTCACGGAAATACTTACGTTAACTTACGTTTATTCGAAAGGATATCATAGGGGGCTGGAGTTGCAGCTTAGTGGTAGAGCACTTGTCTAGCATGAGTGAGGCACTGGGTTCAATCATTGGCACCACATTAAAATAAATAAATAAATAAAAGGCATTGTGTCCATCTATGACTTAAAAAAATTTAAGAAGCAGAAAGGATATCACAAAGGATATAAAAATGAAGAATTACATAGGGCCAATCATGTGGAAAGGAATGTGGAGCTTCCATGCCCTCTCAGATATCCTATCCCACAGGAGCCTTCCTGTGCTTAGCTATTCAGAAGTTCTCTGAACCCTGTACTTTCAGGTTTTTTCAATCATGCTCATGTGGAGCATGATTGAAACATGGACAATTGTGTTCAAATGTGAGTGGGCAAAAAGGGTATGATGTAATGCTATTATACTACCTGGGGAAACTTAGCGAGGCCTGTTTGTTCATTCTTCTTGGCATTTCTGTGTAGCCTTCCTGGGTATAGATAGGACCCCTCCTGAAATGGAGAGGTCTTTGTGTGGTCTACTATTAGACAAAGTAGGCAAGAGAATTTCTTTAGGGTCAGGTCCAACACAGAAAAGGTGACAGGCGGAGTGTATGGGGGGCAGGAGAAGGTCAGAGAAAAAGCGATTTTGATTTCTTGAGGCCTGAAATGCCCCAACATTATTCTACTTACTTAGGAAATAACAAGGACTATGAGAGTTATGAGTCAGAAAAGGACAAAACCAAAAAAATATATATCTTAGTATCTCACCCATATAGAAGAAAACACCAACATTATTCATGTGAAGATTTAAATGGAGGGCTGGAGTTGTAGCTCAGTGATACAGCGCTTGCCTAGCATATGTGAGGCACTGGGTTTGATCCTCAGCACCACATAAAAATAAGTAAATAAAGGTATTATGTCCATCTACAACTAAAAAAAAATATATTTTTTTGAAAGAATAAATTCCAATGATCTCTACAAAAAATTTTAAAAAGATTTAAATGGATGAATGACTTTCACTTTTGTAAACTGTTAGCTTTGTTAAGATGATGATTTCTTAGCAGTGATTCTCCATTGCAATGAAAACTATGTTTTGCCAACAAGTCTATTATTAAAAATTTGGAGCAGCAATACAGATTATTAGGGGGCAAAAACATACATCCTTAAACACTAAACAAAATCGTACTAAAATGTATAAAACTAAATTTTGTACTTAGAAGATAGCATTTGTTTATTGCGGGAGGAGACTAACTTGTGCATCTAGGATGTTTAGCAACAATCCCTGACCTCTGTCCACCAGATGCTAGTAGTCCACTCCTCCAGTAATGACAACAAAAAGTGTCTGCAGACAAATGTTCCCTTGGGGGCAAAAATCATCCTTGGTTGAGAGCCAATGAGACAGATTTAGAGTTGAATTCTAGGGCCTATTGGTGAATCAATTTGAACACATTATCTGACTCTTAGATAATATGTGTGTGTGTGTGTATACACACACACGTATCATGCTGAACTTAGCATTTGACACATAAGAGTTTATTAAATAATAAAATTATTATGGTAAAACCCAATTTCTTTTGTGCTGTTCTGCTTATCTTATGAAGTAAAATGCCCGTTAGTGTAGTATTTGATCAAATTGTTGAACAAGAACTTCCAAGATCTTAAAAGACATTGATTCCTTTATGTGAGCAACATAGGCTTTTGTTTTGTTTTCTCCCCAGCTATGGTTTTATTTTATTTTTCTTTCCCTTGTGTTCTTGTTTGATTTGTGCATGGTGTGCTTTGCATACTCATAAATTTTTTTTTTTTTTTTTTGTACTGGGGATTGAATTCAGAGTCACTTAACCACTGATCCATATCCCCAGCTCTTTTTTAAAAATGTTTTTATTTTGAGACAGTGTCTCACTAAGTCCTTAAGGCCTCACTAATTTGCTAAGGCTCATCTTGAACTTGCAGTCCTCCTACTTCAGCTTCTGGAGTTGCTGGGATTTCAGTGTGAGCCATTGCACCTCTTGAATTAGACTCAGTGTCTTAAAGACTAGTTCATGCTTACAGGAATCAGGCCTAAAGAAATTTACCTAAAGAAAAAAAAGAAAGAAATTGGAAAGATAAAACTAAGGTTCTATTGTTATTTATTATTATGGTGTTTTTGTTGTTGTTGTTAACCTTGAGGCAACAGCCTATCAGAATTTTTTTTTTTGCAAGAATGGTTGAAATTATTAATATCCTATAATTGACTTGATATATATTATCATTTAAATTTTATTGAAGCTCTTGATTCATGATGCACCGCAAGGAACTATATTAAATACTATGTTTTATGCTATCTCATTTACTCCTTCCAGCAAGCTCTGCAAAGAAAAAAGCATTATCCCTACTTTGGAGTAAGCAAATGGTGATTCATTTGCCTCAATATCACTCAGATTTTTATTCCAAACCCATGCTATTTTCATAAATGCCATGCTATCTCCCCCAAATGAGGAACATGTGCCTTTGCTTTAAATTTCTTTGTAGAGCCTGTGTCCTTTTTTGGCACTAGAGATTGAACTCAGGGACATCCTGCCATTGAGCTACACCCCATCCCTTTTAATTTTAATTTTTGAGACAGGGTCTCTCTCTTAGTTGCCCAGGCTGGCCTTGAACTTTCAATCCTCCTGCCTCAACCTCCTGAGTAGCTGGGATTGTAAGCATGCATCTTAGACCATGGATCTCAATGTATCCTGTAACCATAGGATAAGAGCATAAAATGTAGAACACTGGAACTGTAATAAGTCATGTTTTTGGTGTCGCTAATGAGATCTAGTCCAGTTTCTCTGGTTTTTGGCTGCTTCTGCTCTTGTCCAATATAGTTATACTGGGATTATAGAAGTGTGGAGAATTTTTAGGTTTACTTTTTTGTGTGAGGCTATTTTTTGATTAGCTCTTATGGTTTCATATTACTTAAAAATGCAGAGCAGGGTTAGGGATATATCTTAATGGTAGAGCTCTAGTATAGCAAGCACAAGACCATAGGTTGAATTTTAATCCCCAGCACTGCCAAAAGAAGAAAAGAAAAGAAAAAAAAAAAATGCAGAGCAGTTAAATCTTTTAAATCATGAAGTATATATTTGGTAAGAGCCAAGTAAAGGCAGATTTACATTTTGAAAATCAAGAAGGCTATATCTGAGAAGAAAAGCAGTCTTTAAAACTGCCTTGTGATCTGTTTGTACTCTGTTGACTAAAGAGGTTTTTAAGTCTAGAATTGCTTAAAACTACTGTCTGTGTAATTTGCATTTTTTAGCTGAGAGAAGAAAAGTTGCAAGAGGAAAAAACTTCTGAAGACCAAATCCACAAGCTGTTACCAGAGGACACAGAAACAGGGAAAAGGAAAATGGATGAACAGAAAAAAAGAGATGAGCCATTAGTAATGAAAACAAATCTGGAACATGTAAGTAGATCACCTTCTTGATGGACATCTGCCTCAAAAATCAGCAAATACCCAGGGGAAATGAATCTGAAAGTTTTATTAGTGAACTATGAGACCAGTAATGGTCATTATATGCAGTGAATATTGTAGCCTCTGGATGAGAGGTAGAGAAAATAATTTTTGAATGGGATATGAGATCTGGAACAGTGTGGGGGCAGGAAATGGTGAGTGAGATGAAAAACCTAGTCTAGTATATATACCATGGTTATGTTTTATATGTATATTGACATTTTAACTTCCATGTTGTTGTTTTATAATTTTTTTTTTAGTTGTAGATGGACACAATACCTTTATTTTGTTAGTTTATTTTTATGTGATGCTGAGAATTGAGCCCAGAGCCTCACACGTGCAAGGCAAGTGCTCTACCGCTGAGCCACAACCCCAGTCCCCCCATGTTGTTCTTTGACATTTAAGTTTTATATTCTTTTTCTTTGCAGTACCAAGAATTAAACCCAGGAATGTTCTCCCATGAGCTACACCCCTAGCCCTTTTTATTTGTCTGTTTTTGTGGTGCTGGGGATTGAATTTAGGGTTTCATGCATCCTAGGCAAGCACTCTGCCACTAGCTACATTCCCAGCCCACCCCCAGCCCTTTTCTTTTTCCTTTCTTCCTTCCTTCCTTCTATCTTTTCTCTCTTTCTTTTTTCTTTTTTTGAGATGGTCTTGCTGAGTTATTGAAGCTGGCCCCAAATTTATGATCTCCTGCCTCAACCTCCTGAGTCATTGGCATTATAGGTGTGCCCCACTAAGCTTGGCTCCTCAGTTTTATACATTTTATATCTTCAACTATATTTCCTTAAAGCTTATATTTCACTTGCCTTTATTCTTTATAATACCCTAGATAGAACAATGGTTAGACATAAGGTACATTCTCAATATTAGTTTAAGCTTAATCTAATTATATATTTGTTTTAGTGAGGTTTTTTGCTGCTGTGACCAAAAGATCTGGCAAAAATAGCATAGAGGAGGAAAAGTTTATTTGGGGCTCATAGTTTCAGAAGTCTCAGTCAATAGATGGCCAACTCCATTGCTTTGGGCCTGGGGAGAGATAAACCTTCAAGGCGGAAGAGTGTGTTAGAAGAGAGCAGTTCAAGAGTGTGTTAGAAGAGAGCAGTTCAGGACATGGCAACAAAGAACCAGAAAGAAAGCTTTGCTCTCCATGGACAAAATATATATTCCGAAGGCATGCTCCCAGTGATCTACCTCCTTCAGCTATCTCTACCATCCAGTTAATCCTTCAAGTGGATTAATGTGCTGATTAGGTTAAGGCTTATAACCCAATCAACCCAATTGAGTCAAATCTTGACTGAATTTTTTCACTACTTATTTACCAAGTAAATTACTGGAAAGAGTTGTAAGTTATGAATTTAACTTGTAAAGAAAGCACTTTGCGAAGATCCACTAATTACATTCAAATGGACAATTGCAATTGAGTTTAAAAAAAATTTTTTTTAGTTGTAGATGTGCACATACTTTTCTTTTATTTATTTATTTTTATGTGATGCTGAGGATTGGACCCACTGCCTCACATGTGCTAGGCAAGTGCTTTACCACTGAGCCACAATCCTAGCCCCTACAATTGAGTTTTATTTCTTTAGTAAGTCATATTGGATTGGACATTTGTTGCTTGCTGTACGTACTAAACATATCTTTAGAGTTATAACTTCTAAAATACTTTGATTCACCTTGTTGATATTTTAGTTTATCTTTCTAATGAACTGGAATTATAAAGCTTTAGCATATATAATGACAGGCAACATAGCAGAGTAGAAAAATAATCTGTGGCCCAGAAGTCTAACTCTTGGATTCCAGCATTATAGTTAAGTGTACCACTTAGGCTAGGTTACTTAATATCTAAGCTTTTAGTTTGATTTTTGTGAAAGTATTTTTCTTGAACTCGAAATATTGAAATTAAGCTTTCTTGGGTCATTGGTATTTGTTGATTGCTACATACAGCAGGGTTTCTGATTCCAATGATAATAACAATAGTAATTATTGTTAAAATAACTACTTTAATTTTAGAAGATTCCATACTTCTGAAAGATTCAGTTTAACAAGCATGAAGTGCTATGTACTTTTAATGCTCTGTATTGAAGGAACCACAAAGGTCAAAAGACTGCTACTGGATGAGGATACAGTTTAGTTAGAAAGGCAACAATAAGATACATGGTGGTTTTATGCATATAGTATGTCTTCTGACCGGTATTCCTGGCTATGATCTGTGGTCTCTGAAGACTGCAGCTCCACCTCTTCACTTCATCAGGACCATATGTAGAGCCCTCAGGCAAAACAACACAGAAGTGCCTTTCTTTTTAGGACAAACCAGCCTTTTTTTTTTTTTTATTGTCACAACATTCTTTATTTTTTTAGTTGTAGATGGACACAATACTTTTATATTATTTATATATTTTTATACTGTGCTGAGGATCAAACCCAGTGCCTAACACATGCTAGGCAAGAGCTCTACCACTGAGCTATACCTACAGCCCTGTTGCAACATTCTTACAAGAAAGCTTTCACTTTTATATCAAGAAGTTGAGGGAAACTAATGAGGAACAAACTTGTACAGGATTTACAGTTACCAAATCCACACTAGAACATCTGACTTCATGTTCTTTCCTTGAAGAGGTTTTAGTTTTTTGTTGTAGAGTTGGGCAAAAGTGAGTTTTAGTACCAGGTCTTCCAAATACCTAATTTGTAACTATGATAAACTGACTTAGACTGCTTATTCTCAGTTTTCTCATCCATAAAATTGGATAAATAATAATACTAGCAATTACTTCATGATATGGTAGATATTAAGTCAAATTTTTTTAAGTAATGATTTTTCTGTTGTTGTTCCTGGCAATAATGCAAATGACTATTAGGACATAAAAGTAATATTTTTGTATTTATGTATGTATGTATGTATGTATGTATGTTTATTCATTTTTCAATGCTGGATATTGAACATGACTTCAGACATGAAGTGGTTTACCCCTGAAGAAAATCCTCTATTCAGCAATTCTTTTTTTTTTTTTTTTTTCCTGTTCTGTACTTGTTTATTCGGTTACCAGTGTATTTCAAGTACCATCATTTTAAAAATAAATTTTGGAAACAGAATATATGAATATTTCCTGAACACTTTGCTGAAGAGCATCAGATCTGATTACATCTCTAAGGGAATACCAGGGAGAAACTTAAAAGATACTAATGACTAATCTAGAACCACTTCTTAGAATCAATCACTACATTTCACAAACTCTTTCTTTTTAAAGTGAGAAGAATGCTGGTGCAGAATTAGAGATAATCTGAGCTTGATAATTGCAGCAGTCGCCAAATGATAACTGATGCAAAAGGCATGTGGCTTTGGAGAGAGTCTGTCACGCTTCCAAGAAGGCTCACATTTTATATTATTTCAACTAGTTGCCAGGATTTGAGACAGATCAAAAATTATGAGAGAAGGTCTAATCAATATTAGATTAAGAACTGAAATCCTAACAAGTTCCACTGAACATGCTTAATATTTTACTCTCTGTACTCTTGAAATTTATTTTCAAAACTTCCTGTGATTATTAAAATATCCACATTCTTAATTATGATATTATTATTTTTTTAATTTTCCCTCCCACCTCTCATCCCTGTTTAATGTTAATCTTCTTCTCATGCTCTTCCTCCCTACTCTGTTCTTAGTTACTCTCCTTATATCAAAGAAGACATTAGGCATTTGTTTTTTAGGGATTGGCTAGCTTCACTTAGCATAATCTGCTCTAATGCCATCCATTTCCCTGCAAATTCTATGATTTTGTCATTTTTTTAATGCAGAGTAATACTCCATTGTGTATAAATGCCACATTTTTTTTATCCATTCGTTTATTGAAGGGCATCTAGGTTGGTTCCACAGTCTTGCTATTGTGAATTGTGCTGCTATGAACATCGATGTAGCAGTGTCCCTGTAGCATGCTCTTTTTAGGTCTTTAGGGAATAGACCGAGAAGGGGAATAGCTGGGTCAAATGGTGGCTCCATTCCCAGCTTTCCAAGAAATCTCCATACTGCTTTCCAAATTGGCTGCACCAATTTGCAGTCCCACCAGCAATGTACAAGTGTACCCTTTTCCCCACATCCTCGCCAGCACTTGTTGTTGTTTGACTTCATAATGGCTGCCAATCTTACTGGAGTGAGATGGTATCTTAGGGTGGTTTTGATTTGCATTTCTCTGACTGCTAGAGATGGTGAGCATTTTTTCATGTACTTGTTGATTGATTGTAAGTCCTCCTCTGAGAAGTGTCTGTTCAGGTCCTTGGCCCATTTGTTGATTGGGTTATTTGTTATCTTATTGTCTAATTTTTTGAGTTCTTTGTATACTCTGGATATTAGGGCTCTATCTGAAGTGTGAGGAGTAAAGATTTGTTCCCAGGATGTAGGCTCCCTATTTACCTCTCTTATTGTTTCTTTTGCTGAGAAAAAACTTTTTAGTTTGAGTAAGTCCCATTTGTTGATTCTAGTTATTAACTCTTGTGCTATGGGTGTCCTATTGAGGAATTTGGAGCCCCAAACCAGCCTTGATAGAGTTATTCTTCACCATAGTCCTCTGACAGAAAGAGCTGACTGTGCCTGGCCTGCCAGATTCAGCTTTTCTCTAAGAACTGATCTAATATTAATGCATGCCAAGACTGGGAATTTGCTCTAATTATATTTTCTTTTACCACTACTATTTTTCATTTAGAAAGCCAGTGCATCAACCTAATTGAAATCTTAAAAGGAATAAGAAGGTACAAATTCTCAGATTCCTTTATTGGTAGTAGCCAGCTTCACAAAATTTTCCTTGCAAAACCACAATGAATAAAATCTAACCTAAGGTTTTAGATTTTTGCCTTTTTTCCTGTTTACTTTTATATTTTTGAGGACTTTTAAATGATCCTAATTGTACTTTAAATATGTTTTAAAGAGTTTTGGTATTGGGTAAATAATTTCATTTAGTTAGCCAAGGCTATATTCAAATTGGAACACAAGAGAATCTCCAGTGGTCCCAGAGGAAAGCTAGCCCGAATGATTCAGTGATTCTTTTTTTATATAAGTATTATTCTGATTAGAGCTGGACTGATCATATCACTCTCCTAATCAGAACCTCAGTGACTTCATTTTTTCCATGGAATTAAATGAGAATTTTTCACCCCAGTATTTAGGTCCTTCTTTAACTATGATTCTAGATTATCTTTCCATCCTTGATTATTTCCCAAAACTCTAGGGAACAGAGGTATTTGCTTTCTCCAAAATATATACGCTGTGCTTTCTCTCTTCAAGGTGCATTGTCACCATCCTACCTGTTGAAAGGCTATTCAACTCCCTATGTCCTGTTCAAAAGTAGTCACCTTCATGGAAGCTAAAGGGATTCCTCACCTGTTTCTCCAATTCTGTCATTCACCCTCCCTTCTTTGCCCCCACACTTTGTAACTTACAGAAAGTATTTCATTCTCCCTTGCATTGTGTTTTTTTGTGTGTGTGTGTTTGTATTTCTCTGTGGGACCACAAATTTGTTGGAATATGTCTTACCAGGTTTTAAGTCTCCTGAAGTACCTTGTACATGACAAGATTTTGATAATATGTTTATGCAATACAACTTAGATGGAGAGAGATTATCATGTGGTGTTATTTTTTTCAGAATGGAAATAAAATAGACACAATGTTTATTATAATTTGTTATGGTGAAGCTAATCCAATAATAGTATGAGTTGTTGGAAAAAGATTCAGTATAGGTACTGTTACACTAAAGATCATAAAGCAAAAGTGAAAAATCACTATGTATAACCTAGAAGTAATCCTTATAAACATTTGGTAAATATCTGTTCAGAACTCTTTTCTGCATGCATGATATACATACTATATGTTATTGCCTTTCCAGAAAATGCAGCCCTTTTATAACCTATTTTTTGTTAACTATAAATTGTAGACATCTTTCCCTGTAAATTAAGAATCCACATCATTATTTAATGATCTCCCAGTATTCTTTTTTTTTTTTTTTTTTCCAGTATTCTTTTTTTTATGTGTGTGTGATTCTGGAGATTTAACCCTCTCCTAGTATTCTTGACTGTAGAGTTTATTTAACTAAATTAATCTGTTGATATTTTGCTATCTTAAATACCATTGTGATGAAATCCATTTGTCTTATTAGTACCTTAGAAATAAATGGCCAGAAGTGAAATGACCAGGTCAAAGGAAATATACTTTTTAACATTTTTAATATTTATTACTCATTTGGCCTCTAGACTAGTTTGTATATAATTACACTACTTCCAGTAGTACAGGAGAGTATTAAACTAATTTCCTCACTCTTTGTCTACTCGGGGTGCTTCACCCCTGAGCCATATCCTCTGCCTTTTTTATTTTTTTTATTTTTATTTTGAGACAGAGTCTTTATAACTTGCTTAGGGCCTGGATAAGTTGCTGAGGTTGGCTTTGAACTTATAATTCTGCCTCAGCTTCCTAGCCACTGGGATCATGGGCATGTGCCACTGTGCCTGGCTCAGTCTCTTAATTTTTTTAGGTTCAACATTTTTTTTACATGTTGCTGCAGGAGTTCCATTTATGCATGCTTTGTACCCTTTTAAGAATCCACAGTGCTTTATACAGTAACCTTCACAATCTAGATCCAACTTTCGGTCATTGCTTTTCTCCTCTCCGTTTCTCACTGGAACTCCATGAGCTCTAGCACAACCAAACAACTTTCCACTCTTTACATGTACCAGAGCTTTCAGAACTGTTCTTTTGGACAGGCTATTACTTTTGTCTAAAATTCCCTATCTTCATTCTCTGCCTATAAACTATTCATTGACCTTTCAGAGTCATATTAAAGGTCACTTTCTCTGTAAACTCCCCTTCCCCAAAATTAACTTTTATCTAAGGGAAAGATGAGAGGTAAATATTTTCTTCTCTCAAGGTTCAAGGTATTTTGGTTGTAGAAATGTGTAGGGGTAGCATAGCTTTTGTGTAAATAGATACTTATTTATAATAATTAAATTTATTTTCAACAATTAAAATAAACTTGAATATTTGCTATAAAACTAAAATTTTAAAAATATTAATAGTACTTAAATTAATAAATAAATATCTTTTTTGAGTATTTGTTTGCTAATGTATGAGGTACTTTTATTGGCTTATCAGAAACTAAGTAGAACAATCTTAATTTTATACATGAGGAAACTGAGGCTCAGAAAGATAAAACACCTAACCTACATTGATGGTGATAGCAAGTAATAGAGCCAAGATTTGAAGTCTTTAATTTAGTACTGATCTGATTACAAAGAGATGCCCAAATAGGAATTGCCATTATTTATTATTATTGGTATCAAAGCTTTTTCTTTTTTCCAAAGTTCAGAGGACAATATCATATCAAATTTGATATTGGGTCAGTGCTGTTAAAGTTTCTGCAGTGAATATTTTGGGCAGTAGAATTCTCTAAGGAATTATATCCTTTGAAACTGAAAGGCCTCTCTGTGAGTTGTAATCCTTCAACTCTTCTCTCAAAGGCCACTGTTAGGAGACATAGCCTATTGTGTATACCAGACTAGAGAGTAACAGTGTGTTTAAGGAATGCAGAGCACTGTGACCCACATGATGCCTGGCATACCTATGTGTGTAACTTACACTTTGGTAATCATTTGATCAGAGAGAGTTAATCATTAGATGATTAGATTTTTTTGTTTACCTACTATATAGTAGTATAGGAAATTTTTTGAAAAGGTGGTCACTTGCTCTTACAGTTTATTGTCTAATGAAGAATGACTCCTAAATAAGAAGCTACAATTCAGCTACTCATGAAAAGAGTCTCATATGAAATCATGACATACAACCTCACTATATGTTGTATGCAGAAGGTGTATTTAAAAATAAAATACTTCAAATGTGAATAGAAAAAGTCTAAAAAAGGACTACAAAGGAAAATGAAGATAAATGAATGAATATAGACAAGGTAGATAAAACCAAGTCTAGAGGAATTTGAGAGCCTTTGTAGAGAAAGTAGCCTTTCAGATGACTCTGAAAGACCGATAAGTATTTTTATTGACAAAGAATGCAGATAGGGAATTTTAGGAAAAGGAAATATAAAACAATGGTTTTGAAAGGCTATGGTACATATAAAGAGTGAAAGCAGTTTGATTGGACTGGAGTTCATGGAGTTTCTTTTTTTTTTTTTTTGAGTTCATGGAGTTTCATATGAGGAATTGGTGGGGAAAAAATGTGAAAGAATGTTGGGTCTAGGTTATGAACGTTATTGAATCATGCTGAGTGTTTAGCCTTCATCCTGAGATCACCAACAGTTAAGCAAGGATGTGAGAGAATTCATGTGCTGGAAGGATAATTCTTGGTAGTATGAAGGGTGTTCAAGGAAAGAAAACCTGAAGGAAGTGAGACCAGTAAATACATTATTGTAATAGTTGAAGCAAAGATGATGATGATAAAGTAAGGCAATGCCAGTCTGTATAAATGGAAGGAGTAAGATTTGAGAGACATTTTAGTAGTAGAGTATAAATTGCTCAGAGACTGTTGCTCTGAATTTAGGAACCTTTTTTAGCCATTCATAAACTGTATAATCCTAATCTAGGCAAATTAGCTACTCTGACCTTGTTAGCCATCAGTGACAGATAATAATCTGTTTTAATGGGACTGATATAAATAATTAATAAAATAAATATTTAGAAGTATTGGAATACCAAGACCTTTATACAGATGTTATTATGACTTAGAAGTAAGGGAAATAAAAGAATCATAGATGAGATTGAGGTTTTTTAGATGGATTGGTGGTGGGGAAAACAGTGATTTTGATGTTGGATCTATTGAATTTAAGCTACATTTGAGATTGGGATCCCTAGGAGGCATTTGGAAAACAGATTGAAACTTAAAAAGACTTAGAGAACAAGAGCTTTGAAACAAAGCAAGGTTAGGTTCCACAGGAACCCCACATGGACTCCCTTGTCTCCCTTGTCTCCTTGACAGTGTCCTGCACGTCTCTCAGATTCAGAGAATGAAGAACCTTCTGGAGGCCAGATGATACAGACACATCGCTCGGCATTTGTTTCCAAGAACAACTCCTACTCCTTAGCTTTCCTGGCAGGGTAAGAAACTGATACTGAATTCAGTCAGGATTCTTCCATTTTGGGGTGTGAGACAAAAGGAACTGGGAGAGCAAATGTATTTGTTGTAGCTATTTTGTGGGGAGGTGGAAGGGGTAAAAAGAAGTGGGAATTGGATTTTTAAATATGAATCAGAAAGGGTCGATCTGAATTTTCAAAGAAAAATAATATTTACCCATTTGTCACATCTTTAAGGTAGAATTATGCTAATTTCTCCTGCAAAGTTTAAATCTTTTATCCTGGGAAAATACAATAACAAAATCTTATTCACTCTGACAGTAGCCATGGATTCTCCCTCTGAACTTAAAAAACTCAGTAGGAAATGAATTCAGAGTTGATTTTATTTTTCAATTTCTAGGTCTAACTGTATTTTCATGGGTTTCAGGAAAGTGGACTGAAAAGTTTTAAGACCCTTATCAACAAACCTCTTGATCCTTTAGATTTCGCAGACCCTAGGGAGAAACTGAATGGATACTGAATGCTGGATGTTGGAGGGATAATGAAGGGCTAGATGGAAAGGATGGAAGGAAGGAATCATTTATTCAGTAGATGTTTTGGAAAAAGCAGATACTATGTGCCATACTCTGTTTTAAAAAAGAAATGCAAAGGCACAATCTTTAGTTTGTTGTCTTTTTTTTGTTTAAAGCTGGCATTGCTTACCTTCATCCCTAGGGTTCAGCTCCTCCTTCCTATCAGCACAAGAGGTTGAAGTCTTTCTAGAAACTTTGGTGATGGCTGTGGAGGTGGTTTCATTGATAATGACAACTTGGTTTTGAGGAAATTGCAGTGATCCTGTGGCTTTGGTGACAGCCATGGTGGTGGTGTATATAATGTCAGTGGAGGTGGCTATAGTGAATTTGGTAATGATGGAAGCAATTTTGGAGCTGGTGGTAGCTACCATGATTTGGTAGTTAACAACAATCAGTCTGAATTTTGGACCCATGAGGGAGGAAACTTTGACTGCCGAAGCTCTAGCCCCTATTGTGGTGGAGGCCAAAAAGTACTTTGTCAAATCCTGAAATCAACGTGGCTGTAGCAGTTCCAGCAACCGCAGTAGCCATCCATGGTAGTGGCAGAAGGTCTTCATTTTTTGACTCAAAGCTTAGCGGGAGAGGCGAGCCAGAGAAGTGACAGGGAAGCAAGAGGTTACAGCCAGTTGTTCAACTCAGCCAGGCACCATGGTGGTAGGGCTTAACTGCTACTAGGAAGACACATTTTAGACAAAACTCATGTGTGTAGGCAAATAACCTTCAAGGACTGTGTTTAGGACTAATTGTATAACAGATTATTTTAGTTTCTGTTCTGTGGAACATGTAAAGCTTTCCAGCAAAGGGTTTTGATGTAGGGGTTTTTTTGGCACCCATGCTGTTGATTGCTAAATTTAATATCCTGATTATATGCTGAATAAACATGGCTTTAAAAAAATAGCTGAATTTAGTTGGTAGAGTTATCCTTTAGTGAAATAGTTTGCTGATGTCATAGAAACCTTAGGTGGGAAAATCAATTATGGTAATACCATAAATTGTATCTCTTATTTATAATGTACTTTTTTCCTTAGATAAGAAAATGTTAAGTTTCAGTTACAAATTATTTTTAGGAGAACAATATGGAATTGTTAGTGCTGACAAGAAAATCCAGCATAATAGACATATTTAAAAATAATTCAATTGGTGGTGGTTGTACAATAATGTAATTATAACTTTAAAATAGTTAAAATGGTAAATTTTATGTATATTTTACCACAATAAAAGTTAAGCACTGTTCATAGTTTTTAATATTTCAAATATATATTTTTTTCTGTTAAGCAACAACCAAAGAATAAGTTTTCTCTGCAAGTTTTTTTCTGAAAAGAGATCATATGTAAAAAACTTAAGTTTTTAATAAGTGTATTTGAATCAAATGAATCTGCCATTTAAAAAAAATTTTTTTTGTAGTTGTAAATGGACAGAATGCCTTTATTTGTTTATTTAGTGCTCTACCACTAAGCTACAGCCCCAATCCCTACCATTTGTTTTTCATACCTACTTTATGAACTTTTTTTAAGCATAAAAGCATGAGGGTAATAGTGAATAGGCATGAATGATAGGAATATTATTTTGAAAAAATATATCAATAGATTCTGGCTGTGAGTCTTGCCAGCAGATCAGCTAATTTTTACTTTAAAAGTTCAAAGAGGGCTTTGTAGTCACTTGATAAAGTTCTGTAGCCCTTTGAAAAGGAAACTTATTTTAAATAGGCCAATAGAATTATAGTTAATCCAGGATCAATTCTAGGTTAATCTCAAAATATTTGTTAGTTGAAAAAATTAATTTGAATAGTAAATGGTTGTATAATTGTAAAGTTAAATTTTCATTTTAGCTAACTGAAAACTGGTTTAGCTTATTAAATCATTTCAAAAAATTTATTTCCCTTCTTGCCTCATTCCTATCTTCCCCACCAAAATCAAACTAAAACCAAGAGGGCAAATTCTTCTTAAGGCTCAGTCTGGAAAATCTTTTTGAGTTACTGTTTTTCTGTTCCACAAGAGCTCCATATCCAGTTGCATTTTTCTCAATGCTTTGGCTGTCAATTTAGTATTGGGATTAGTTCAGTCACTGTGCCTTTCCAACATGGCCTGAAATTTTTTAAAAAATGTATTTTTTTTGTACCCTTTTTACATTTGCTAAGTGGTCTCTGTTACTCCACTGAAATTTAGTTTTTATAGATCTTTTACTTTAAATAGATTCAGATTGTTCTTGGAAATATGGTGTAACCATAAAAAGAAATATAGTCAAATCTGCCATCTTTCTAGTTTGAAAAACAAGTGATACAGTAATGACAATACTGCCACACAAAAAGTGTATCATAAGTAAATGGTACCTAGCAAGATTTCTGGCACATGATAAACCTTTAGTATTATTGCTGGTGCTGCTGCTATTTTTTTGTCATTTTTTGAAAAATGGATTCATGACATATCAAAAAGGATCTGACATACAATCTTATTCAACCTTTTTTTTGTAGTTATTAATGGACAGAATGCCTTTATTTTGTTTTTATTTTTTATTCGGTGCTAAGGATCAAGCCCAGTGCCTCACACATGCTAGGCAAGCACTCTGCCACTGAGCTACAGCCCAAGCCCTTATCAACCCCTTTTTTGTTGTTTGTTTTAGATGGGAAGACTAAAGCCCAAAGAGAGAACATGGTTTGCCAATCTTAGACTGCTGGAATAGTAGGAAACTGAGTTAAAACTGAGGCTTCTTGTTGTTGAGTGTCCTTTCCACTGCACTCCATTGTGCCCAAACCTTCTTGTGTAGGTCCCTGTGCTGCCTCTGCTTATCTCCCCAACTAATCTTTAAACTCTTTGCAGGCAGAACAACATCTTTTCCATCATTATAATTCCAGTATTAGTATAGTGGCTGGCATATAGTTGGGATCCTCAGAAATATTTGTGGAATGTTTGAGTGAGCTTGGCCTTGTGTTTCTAGGTAGGCTAAACTGGGACTTTGTCAGAACTGATTGTCAAAGTTGTAGCATAGGGCTTCTAGGAGGAGAGTTCTGGGAGCATAGAAAGATGGATTGGCTAGTGGCTATTTTCTAGATTCAGTTTTATAGGAGTAATATGGGATGGGAGGGGGAGTCTAGTGACCACATTGATAAAACTTTTATATTGTGAAGTTGCTTATAGCCTTCTAATGCATTAGCAGTGGTTTTTGATGATACTTTTTATAGTCTTATAAAAATGATTTGTATTCCACTTAGCAGAAATTAACTATAGCTGTACCATTTTGTTTTCTAATATCTATATACTCTAAGCCTGAGCCTGTGCTCCACAGTGTGGCAATATGAGAGCTGGAGGAGCTGTACTTTCTATAAATTGTGTGTATAAGGAGAAAAACAGAGACTGAGAATCTTAGTGATACTAAATGCATGCCCAATCAGTGTTGGAGTGCATTAAAATATGCACACCCTCTTGGAAGTATATCTCGCTTCCTTAAAATGAACAAAAGGAATACAGAAGCTCTCAGGTAGCACAAAACAAGCAGATGTGTAAGTGGTATGATTTTGAAGAACCATCTGTAGAATTATAAAAGCAAGCAAAGCCAGAGTTGGTAAGGGGCTCAGGTATGTTAGCCTAGGGGAGGTTATGGAAGATGTAGCAGCAGGACCCTGAATAAAATCAGTTGACTTTCTGTCTCATTTATGTAAAATGTAGGTTGTTATGACCTACCTGCAAGCTAAGCTGATGGTTTTATTCAGTGATTTCTTTCTTGTCATCTCCAAAATCAAAATGTCTATAGGTAACTGTTTTGGTCAGTTTTTTTCACTTATGTGACCAAAAGACCTGATAAGAATAATTAGAGAGGGCAAGTTTATTTGGGGACTCAACTGTTTCAGAGGACTCAGTCCATAGACAGCGGACTCCATTGCTCTGTGCTCAAGGTGAAGCAGAGCATGATGGTGGAAGGGTGTGGCGAAGGAAAGCAGCTCAGAACATGACAGTTAGGAAGCAGAAAGAGAGATTCTGTGTACCAGAAACAAATTATATACCCCAAAGTCATGCCTCCAGCAACCCATCTCCTCCAGCCAAACCCTACCCGTTTGTTACCATCCAGTTAATTCTTTCAATTAATTAATCATTTCACCTCTGAACATTCTTGTATTGTCTCATAGATGAGCTTTTGGGAGATACTTCATATCTAAACCTTAACAGTGACTTAGAGCACAGTTTTAAAGGATGTAGGGAGTGAGGCCAGGGTATGAATAAATCCTTTTGCATTATGCTAGGAATTTTGGAATAGAGCTATAAAAACACAGAGTTTTTCAGTCCACAAGGAGAATGCAGTAAACCCCCTGCCTTTGCCTGCTGGGGATAAATCCCAAGATCCCCAGTAGATGCTTAAAACTGTGGATAGTACTGAATGCTATATATGCTGTTTTTCTTTTCTATACATAACATACCTATGATAAAGCATAAATTAGATACAGCAAAAGATTCACAAAAA